TTATGTAACATGTTCATCTTATTGTATAAAATGTTCATCTAAATTCCATCTGTAAAATTATAACATTTTCATCTTGTTCTATAACATGTTCATTTTACTATATAACATGCGCATCTTAGTATGTAACATGTTCATCTTATTATATATTTGTGTCATCACCTTCCAAAAAGATAATTTAATTATAAAAAAGGATAAATTAATTGTGTTCCAAAACTTATCAAATGTGGTCTCTATTTGTAGAGATTGAAAAATTATGAATTTTGGTATTTTTATTTTTATTTTTTAATATAAAATGTGAATAATAATTTAATTTATATAATATGATATGTAAAATTTATTATCCAATATATATTGGACACTTGTCTTTTTTAAACAAAAAAAAAACTTGCATACCTTATTATCTCTCTCTCTGCGCGTGCACCTAGGATTTGGACAGGATTTTTATTTGTAAAGCCACGCTCCTTTTTCTTACGTGTAGCCACTCTCTGCCTTGGTACACCTAGCAAGGTGTACCTAGGTGCACGGTGGATATGGTAACCCCATAAATTGGGACAGTGGACCCAACCGGCCAGGGTCCACAGTGAAAACTTTCTAAATACTGTTACTAATGATAATAGCAATTAGCAACAATAGTAAATAATACTAATTTATCATTTTATACCTCTAGTTCTTTTTATGTTTTTAAATAGTAACTTAGTATTTGAAATTAATATATATATACAAAACAGTTTTTACATAACCGAGTTCTTGTTTCGAGTATATTCAAAAGTCTAGATCTTTCGTCGAGACCCTTAATTCAATATAGCAAATCGTCGATGATACTGTCTGGGGTTGTAGGGTGGAACATTTTTGTCTGATATCCTTTTTTTTTTATATTTCCACAAAAATGGATAAACATTTACATCTATTTTTCCTTTTTTTACTTCTTTTAATAGGGATAAGAAATGTAGACAATACCACGAAGAATAAAGAAATACCGAGGGGAGAAAGAATAATAAAAGGAGAGAATTTCATTCACTATCTCCAACTATAAAACTTGATAATACATTACTTGACACAGCTAGTTGGCTCGATTTATTAGCGAGCCGAACTCGAGATTTGATTACTAATTCATTTAATTAACGTGTCAAGCGAATTATAAAAAAATTAGATAAATATTTTCTTTATGAGCATTAACTAACCAAGCTCGCTTCATTTATCAAATAAACCGAGCTTAACTCAAGCATTGAGATCAAGGGGGTTCATTTAGTTTCCCAGGTCATAGTTATTAACCATTGAATACGTAGTATTAGATTACTTATATTTTATAATTAAAAATATCCAACTCTCTTGTTTAGAACTTTAGACTACTGTTTATTGGCCCCATTTGCATCCCCAGCCAAGTGACGAGTTGAAGGTTTTGCAACGAGTTCCTTTTTCAAACTCGGTCGTCCGTACATAGCCAGCAGTCGCCGGCCACATGGCCCCGAGAAGAAATGCCGGACGGGGCCGAGGACGCGGCGGAGGGCAAGCGCCACCGTCAGCGCCAGCGCTTGGGGGACCTAGCTTGGCGGAACCACAAGAAATGGATTTCGACGCTGAAAATGTCAGTCCCGACGGCGGAATCGCCTTGAACTTGGACAATCTTGACGGACAAGGGTTTCGCACTTTCATCCGAGGATTTATCACAAACCCCATGTTCGACGCTAAATTTCTGACCAAAGAAAGGGCGAAGGTGTTTCTGAGGACGCCGATAAGCGCCGGTTCCCTCAAATACTTCGATGTGTACATGTCGGCGAACGGAAAGAGGATCGGGTTGCGCTTTCTTGCATCCAACTTGTACTTATTTGGATTTCAGGCCCAGCCAAATGGGGTTTGGTACCAACTGGAGGGGTGGCTCTGCGTATCTCGTAAAGTGAAACTGGATGTGAAAAATCTGTACATGGTCCAGATTGGATTGGGTGTTGATTACACAGATTTGGAGCGAAATGGGAGAAGAATTAATCTTGACCTGGGAATATGTGAATTAACACAGGCTGTGTATCAACTAAGCAAGTTTGCTGGTGGTTTTTTTTATCATCTTAGAAGACCATTCCTTGTAATTGCCCAAATGGTGCCTGAGGCCATGAGACAGCCTGCCATCTTGGAGGAAATATGTGCTAAGTTTTATGGTTGCAGATTGAGCCCGTCACTCATTAAAACACAAAATCAATATGGAATGAAGTGTAGATTTTTTACTGCAAGGTCTATTCACGAACGGCTCGATCTTTCGTACCAGATGTCGATAGAAGAATATGAGGAAATCGAGCTACTTTTGGAGCTAACCACTGTGAGGTATCAATCAAGAGAGGGAGGCTACTTTTGGCCCAAGATTTATGCAACGTAAGTTTATGTTCTTGTTTCTTCTTAACTCGTGTGCATGAGAAATATTGGAGTTTGCTTGAAGTTGATAACAAATGTGGTCAAATGACAGTTGTTGGCTGAAAATGAGGTTGACATATTGTAATGAATTGTCCCAATTTATTGTTCTGATATCTAGCTTGACAAAGAGTCTTTAGTGGGCTGAAATTTAGATTTTAATGGGGAAGACAAATTGAGACCAATAGTCATTTTCAATGTGTACAGTATGAAATGAGCTAAGAACAAAAGGACAAAATAAAGTCTCTGACTTATGTTGGTCCCTGGATATTTAGTAGGAACATCAGTTTCCTTAATGTTGAAGGAGATCAATTAAAATGTATCTTCTATTGCAGATGAAAATATGGCCACATATACTTTCTCCTGTAGTGTTAGATATTATACGTATAATTCTATAACGATGTGGCATGTCAGATCATTTTTTCAGATGCTAGTGGTTGGAATGCAGATTTGAATATTATGATTTTTACATCTTCAATTGGTGCTAACATTAATCTTTATGATCAGGTTAAAGCTGATGATGGGAACTCCTCCACACACTTGCTGTGTTTGCATGTGGTTTCTATTTGCGCGATACAACTTTTTTGTTTCCTGATTTTGCTGCCTTCTCCTTTATGTTTGCTGCATTACACACATCAGACTCTAGTTTTTTTAGAATGAGCTGAAGGCATATTGGGGATTATCAGGACACGGCTAGACACACCCGGCTTGTCCAAAATTATTTTTTGTCCACTTCGTAAGAATCTGCAAAAGTTCACCACTAGACACATCAGATACTAGTTTATTTGTTTATTTATTTATTTATTTATTTGTTTATTTTTTTCTAAATAACGAGCTGAGTNATAATAGCCGGAGAACATTTCAATATCTACCTTAATATATAAAACTCAAATTCACGAACTGAGTTTTCTCTTTCTCCATATTGATACTGATGAAATCTCATACAAGTTATTGCTACGATTAGGTTTGGTTTTTTTAGTTTTATTTTTTTTCTTGTTAATAACTAACAGCGAGGTCGGTAATTAGGGCACGCTTGTTTATATATTTGTTTAGTTTTGATTCAATATTTTGTTTTTGTTAAATATGGTTAATTTTAAAACAAAAATTGGTTAAGTTCGGTGGTTTGAGTGAGATTTTGAATTTATATTAAAATAATATTTGAGTGAGATTTTGAATTTATATTAAAATAATATTTAAAATCAAATAATTAAAATTGATTTTATATAAAAATAGAATAAAAGTGATTGAAGTGATATGTAGATAAAATTATGTGATTGAATAAAAAGTGAATTGAAGTTGATGTGATGTGTAAGAATGGTTGATTAATACTCCCTCCTATTTTTAATAAATGTCGTTTTGAGAAGTTGCACAATAATTAAGAATATTTTTTTTGTCAATAATAACCCTCTTTAATGAGGATAGAGATTGATGTTTTGAGAAAAAATTGAGAGAATATGAAAAGACGTAGTGTATTTATTAGTTAGGTGAGGGTAATGATGGAAAAATATGTACAAAATAGCCAAAACGACATTTATTTAACAAATGATCAATTAAGCTAGGATGACAAATAATAAAAATAGGAGGGAGTATTATTTAATTATACAGTGATGTTAAGTTAAAATTGAGTTAGCTTTGAGTTGGAATTTGATTTTTTAAAAATTTATAAACAAGCTCAAGCACTTAATACGTTTGTCCAATCTATGCAAAATTTGCTTGAAATCCGGTTCCATTTGTAAAGCTATCTATTAATATTTTAAATTTATAAATTAGAGTTTTGGTTGGTTGGTCGAGAACTTAGTTTGTAAATAAATCAGGCATACCATGTTTATCTGAAATTAATTTGGATAATTAGTAGAGAGATATTCTATACAGAAAACGTTTGGCCGTGAAACTTTATCTCTCATTCTAATTTATAATTAAAATATTATTTATAATCAATTAAATAAAACTTAATGTATAATATTTTTTTCCACGAATACATTGGGCTAATAATAAAACAGACATTGAAATATTCTTTTATAGAAATTTTGTTCTTTGTAATTGACATGTATAAAATGACACAAATTAACACAAATGTAATCCAAAATTTTGATTTACATATTATTTGACCAATTATAAATCTATCATTCAAATTTACATACAAATAAAGAATGAACTTATTTAATTAAATATTCAAATGAATGAATAATAAATATAAATCTACATCATCAAATTTAATTTTACCTATATTTTTTCATAGAAACACATCTAAGTAAATAAACCACATGTCAAAGAATTTCAATTTCACATGCCACCGGATAATAAAAAAGCTAATACATTGTTACCAAATTTTTAGGGAACATTCACTTATAACAAAAAATATTTATCATTCTTAAAAATCATTTTATATTCTGATTGCAATATTTGATTCAATTATATGTACAAAAAATTCTTTCGCCATTTGTTACATAATTTTAAGGAAATCCGGTTAAAACAATTTTTAAAGAACCCGAATTTTTTCTCATTTTATATTAGTAAAAATCTAAGCAAATCGTAAAATATATCTCGTTTAAAAGATTCATTATTATCTTATCGCAAAATAAGTCGGATATAGTAGAAATATCACAAATCTTGAACGATTTTTTTAATTAGAACCATATATCACATAAAACAAATAATTTATGACATCTATATAAGTAGTCAATTACACAAAATTATTTACCACATCTTTTAGCATTTTTTTCAATCCGTAATCTATAGAATCCTACTAATATCATTTTTTCCACCATATAATATGCCGCTCTTGTAGTGTTTTTTTTTTTTTAATTCGGTTTCTCCAA